AAGGGGATGGGAGGAGTAAGGGGATGGGAGGGGTAAGGGGATCGGAGGGGTAAGGGGATGGGAGGGGTAAGGGGATGGGAGGGGTAAGGGGATGGGAGGGGTAAGGGGATGGGAGGGGCATTGCTAGCGGAAAAACATCCAAATCAAAGCACGACCTTGTGCTGAAGCCCAGCCATGGTGCCGCCCAGCCATGATGCCGCCCACCCGTGATGCCGCCCAGCCATGATGCCGCCCAGCCATGATGCCGCCCAGCCATGATGCCGCCCAGCCATGATGCCGCCCAGCCATGGTGCCGCCCACCCAAGCCCCACCCACCTTGCATTCACAGTTGGGGTTGGTCTCTGAATGGTTGGCAAACTTGAGGGCACTCCCCTTCCACTCCGCATCCAGTAGCTCCTGCCATGCCATGCACCATGCGCCATGCACCATGCGCCATGCACCATGAGCCATGAGCCATGCACCATGCGGCGTGCACCATGCACCATGCGCCATGCACCATGCACCATGCGCCATGCTCCATGCACCATGCGCCATGCACCATGCACCATGCGCCATGCACCATGCGCCATGCACCATGCACCATGCGCCATGCACCATGCGGCATGTGCCATGCGCCATGCACCATGCGCCATGTGCCATGCGCCATGTGCCATGCACCATGCGCCATGCGCCATGTGCCTTGCGCCATGCGCCATGCGCCATGCGGCGTGCGCCATGCGCCATGTGCCATGTGCCGCACCCAACATGAATGAACACAACTTTATGAAAGCCGATTTATACATTGTCTCGGTGCAAGAACAGCTATATTATTTACACCGCAAGCATCAGACAGCATGCAGAACATGCAAGGCAGCACAGCACATGCAGGGCATGCAGCACATGCAGCACATGCAGCACATGCAGCACATGCAGCACATGCGGGCATGCAGGGCATGCAGGGGATGCAATGCAGCGCATGCACTGCAGCACATGCACTGCAGCACATGCACTGCAGCACATGCAGGGCAGCGCATGCAGGGCAGCGCATGGAGGGCATGGCACCTGGTTGGCGAGGTCGAACTCGAAGACGTGGCGTGTGGACTGCTCCTCTGTGAGCACCTCCCCCGTGTACTCCCCCACCAGCTCTCCCCGCCCCGCATCGTGCTGCCCTCCCCAGCGTGCCCCCACACACAGCATGAGGATTGAGCATGAGGCACAGAAGGCAGGGAGGCCACAGTGAGCGAGCAAGAGGATTTGTTGCCTGGCAGTTTATCTCTCACCAAGGCCGTCCGCTCTCCTCAGCATATGAATACGACACGGTGCATGTGAAATGACAGCACAACAGGCACAACAAGCACAGCAGGCACGCACCAGCAGGAAAGCTCCCCAGCCGTCCAGAGGCGAGCACTTCACCTCGACCTGCTGGCACAACAGGTGCAGGACACCAAGTGGAGGGCAGGACACCAGGTGGAGGGCAGGACACCAGGTGGAGGGCAGGACACCAGGTGGAGGGCAGGACACCAGGTGGAGCGCAGGACACCAGGTGGAGGGCAGGACACCAGGTGGAGGGCAGGACACCAGGTGGAGGGCAGGACACCAGGTGGAGGGCAGGACACCAGGTGGAGGGCAGGACACCAGGTGGAGGGCAGGACACCAGGTGGAGGGCAGGACACCAGGTGGAGGGCAGGACACCAGGTGGAGGGCAGGCAGAATGGCAGATAGGTAAGAGCAAGGAAAACAACCGAAAACATAAGGCAGAGGGAGTAGCAGATAGCAAAGAACAGAAACAGGGACATGCAGGTGGAAGGATGGTCATCCCGTCTCTCCCATTCTCTACTTCCTTATTCTCTGATCTGTACTATCCACCCTTCCCTCCCTCCCTCCCTCCCTCCCTCCCTCCCTCCCTCCCTCCCTCCCTCCCTCCCTCCCTCCCTCCCTCCCTCCCTCCCTCCCTCGCTAATCATCCCATGGCACGGCACCTGCACGGAGTGGCAGCGGGAGAGCTGCATGTTGCAGCACGACTGTGGCTCCGTGCTGCCGTGCGCATGCGGGCACACGCAGGCAGAGGAGGGCAGCAGGGGGCAGCGGGGGGCACAGGGGGGCAGAGGAGGGCAGAGGAGGGCAGGGGAGGGCAGGGGAGGGCAGGGGAGGGCAGGGGAGGGCAGGGGAGGGCAGGGGAGGGCAGGGGAGGGCAGGGGAGGGCAGGGGAGGGCAGGGGAGGGCAGGGGAGGGCAGGGGAGGGCAGGGGAGGGCAGGGGAGGGCAGGGGAGGGCAGGGGAGGGCAGGGGAGGGAAGGGGAGGGCAGGGGAGGGCAGGGGAGGGCAGGGGAGGGAAGGGGAGGGCAGGGGAGGGCAGGGGAGGGCATGGGAGGGCAGGGGAGGGCAGGGGAGGGCAGAAGAGGGCAGGGGAGGGCAGGGGAGGGCAGGGGAGGGCAGGGGAGGGCAGGGGAGGGGGTTCGGCTTGAGATGAGGCATGCCACACGGCGGGATACAGAGGCACGTGTGAGGGCTCCCACCCCGTGCAGTGGCCCTCTCTCCCACCCCATGCAGTGGCCCTCTCTCCCACCCCGTGCAGTGGCCCTCTCTCCCACCCCGTGCAGTGGCCCTCTCTCTCACCCCGTGCACTGCCCCTCTCTCTCACCCCGTGCACTGCCCCTCTCTCTCACCCCGTGCACTGCCCCTCTCTCTCACCCCGTGCACTGGCCCTCTCTCTCACCCCGTGCACTGCCCCTCTCTCTCACCCCGTGCACTGCCCCTCTCTCTCACCCCGTGCATTGCCCCTCTCTCTCACCCCGTGCACTGCCCCTCTCTCTCACCCCGTGCACTGCCCCTCTCTCTCACCCCGTGCACTGCCCCTCTCTCTCACCCCATGCACTGCCCCTCTCTCTCACCCCATGCACTGCCCCTCTCTCTCACCCCGTGCACTGCCACTCTCTCTCACCCCGTGCACTGCCCCTCTCTCTCACCCCATGCAGTGCCGGCAGGTGTCGGGGTCGCACTCACGGCCGGCGCGGCGGCAGATGCACGTGGTGGTGTTGCACTTGCCCTTGCACGCGCACCCGGGGAACCTGTTGGGGCAGTCCTTGCCGCACCTGCCACGCACCCATGGGGCGAGCGGGGACAGTGCAGTGGTTGAGGGTGCAGGTGGGTGATTGGATTGGGTGGGTGGGTGTGAGGGACTCACAGGTGCATGCATGAGACTTGCACACGTGTGCTTATTTGGTGTACATGTGTTCATGTGTTAGTGTGATCATGTGTTCGTGTGTTCGTGTGTTCCTGTGTTTGTGTGTTCGTTTGTTATGTGTTCGTGTGTTCATGTGTTCATGTGTTCATGTGTTCGTGTGTTCATGTGATCGTGTGTTCATGTGTTGGTGTGTTAATGTGTTCATGTGTTCATGTGTTAGTGTGTTAGTGTGTTCATGTGTTAGTGTGTTAGTGTGTTCATGTGCTAGTGTGTTCATGTGTCATGTGTTAGTGTGTTAGTGTGTTCATGTGTTAGTGTGTTAGTGTGTTCATGTGCTAGTGTGTTCATGTGTTCATGTGTTCATGTGTTCATGCGTTCATGTGTTCATGTGTTCATGTGTTCATGTGTTGGTGTGTTAGTGTGTTCATGTGTTCATGTGTTCATGTGTTCATGTGTTCATGTGTTCGTGTGTTCGTGTGTTCGTGTGTTCGTGTGTTCGTGTGTGTTCCTGTGTTCATGTGTTCATGTGTTACTGTGTTACTGTGTTACTGTGTTCATGTGTTCATGTGTTCATGTGTTCATGTGTTCATGTGTTCATGTGCTCATGTGTTCGTGTGTTCGTGTGTTCCTGTGTTCATGTGTTCATGTGTTACTGTGTTACTGTGTTCCTGTGTTAGTGTGTTCATGTGTTCATGTGTTCATGTGTTCATGTGTTCATGTGTTCATGTGTTCGTGTGTTCCTGTGTTCCTGTGTTCATGTGTTCATGTGTTACTGTGTTACTGTGTTACTGTGTTAGTGTGTTCATGTGTTCATGTGTTCATGTGTTCATGTGTTCATGTGTTCATGTGTTCATGTGTTAGTGTGTTAGTCTGTTCGTGTGATCGTGTGTTCGTGTGTTTATGTGTTCATGTGTTCATGTGTTCATGTGTTCATGTGTTCGTGTGTTCGTGTGTTCGTGTGTTCATGTGTTCATGTGTTCATGTGTTAGTGTTCGTGTGCACGTGTGCAAGGCAACCGACCGCATGAGAGTATGTGTGCCACAGGGATCCAGTGCGAGTGCAACCACTGGACAGCAACACGCCTCCCCCACCAACCCGCTACCTGCACTGCTTCTCGCAAAAGTTCTTTCCCTTGCGGCAGTCACAGCTGCCCCGCGCGCACTCCCCCGCACACGCACATGGAATGTATGCCTCCTGCCAGGCACGAGGGGCCAGGGGGGTCACAATGGGCGGGCGGAAGGATGGGGTGCATCAAGTGTGCAAAGGGCATTGGGATTCAGCCATGTGTGTTGTTGAAACACTGCTGCAAACACCGCCACACACCTCCCAGCAGCACCGTTGCACTCATCACTCTGCCGGCTGCACTCACCACTCTGCCGGCTGCACTCACCACTCTGCCGGCTGCACTCACCACTCTGCCGGCTGCACTCACCACTCTGCCGGCTGCACTCACCACTCTGCCGGCTGCACTCACCACTCTGCTGGCTGCACTCACCACTCTGCCGGCTGCACTCACCACTCTGCCGGCTGCACTCACCACTCTGCCGGCTGCACTCACCACTCTGCCGGCTGCACTCACCACTCTGCCGGCTGCACTCACCACTCTGCCGGCTGCACTCACCACTCTGCCGGCTGCACTCACCACTCTGCTGGCTGCACTCACCACTCTGGCTGCACTCACGAGTTGGCAGGGGGGGATGTGCGACCGCTGGTGCAGCAGCGCCTTCACGGCAGCAGAGGGTGGCGCCACCGGCGCTGGCGGGTGCACGCAGCAAGGGTGGCGCAGAGGGCTGCGAGGCACACTGGGCCGTGTGCCAGCTGCACGTGAGGCCTGCGACACAGCAGGCATGGGGGAACACAACTGAGGCGCCTTGAGTGAGAGAAACGGAATGAGGCCCCTCGTGCCCACTGCTGGAGTGAGGCACGCATTGAGAGCATGCTGGCACGCATTGAGAGCATGCTGGCACGCATTGAGAGCATGCTGGCACGCATTGAGAGCATGCTGGCACGCATTGAGAGCATGCTGGCACGCATTGAGAGCATGCTGGCACGCATTGAGAGCATGCTGGCACGCATTGAGAGCATGCTGGCACGCATTGAGAGCATGCTGGCACGCATTGAGAGCATGCTGGCACGCATTGAGAGCATGCTGGCACGCATTGAGAGCATGCTGGCACGCATTGAGGGCATGCTTGCACGCATTGAGAGCATGCTGGCACGCATTGAGAGCATGCTGGCACGCATTGAGAGCATGCTGGCACGCATTGAGAGCATGCTGGCACGCATTGAGAGCATGCTGGCACGCATTGAGAGCATGCTGGCACGCATTGAGAGCATGCTGGCACGCATTGAGAGCATGCTGGCACGCATTGAGGGCATGCTGGCACGCATTGAGAGCATGCTTGCACGCATTGAGAGCATGCTGGCACGCATTGAGAGCATGCTGGCACGCATTGAGAGCATGCTGGCACGCATTGAGAGCATGCTGGCACGCATTGAGGGCATGCTTGCACGCATTGAGAGCATGCTGGCACGCATTGAGAGCATGCTGGCACGCATTGAGAGCATGCTGGCACGCATTGAGAGCATGCTGGCACGCATTGAGAGCATGCTGGCACGCATTGAGAGCATGCTGGCACGCATTGAGAGCATGCTGGCACGCATTGAGAGCATGCTGGCACGCATTGAGAGCATGCTGGCACGCATTGAGGGCATGCTTGCACGCATTGAGAGCATGCTGGCACGCATTGAGAGCATGCTGGCACGCATTGAGAGCATGCTGGCACGCATTGAGAGCATGCTGGCACGCATTGAGAGCATGCTGGCACGCATTGAGAGCATGCTGGCACGCATTGAGAGCATGCTAGCACGCATTGAGAGCATGCTGGCACGCATTGAGAGCATGCTGGCACGCATTGAGAGCATGCTGGCACGCATTGAGAGCATGCTAGCACGCATTGAGAGCATGCTGGCACGCATTGAGAGCATGCTGGCACGCATTGAGAGCATGCTTGCACGCATTGAGAGCATGCTGGCACTGCCACGCACTCTTACCTCTTGAAGGCGCAGCAGCAAGGCGTGTATGTCGCTGCAGGTGTGACGCCCCCTATGCAGCGTTGCTGCTAACACACAGCTGTGAGCGGGGCATGCATAGGGGCCGGAGAGCAGCAAGGAGACAGGAGATAGGAGAAAGGCGAGAGCAGAGAGGAGAGATCAGAGAGGAGAGAGCAGAGAGGAGAGAGCAGAGAGGAGAGAGCAGAGAGGAGAGAGCAGAGAGGAGAGAGCAGAGAGGAGTGAGCAGAGAGGAGTGAGCAGAGACGAGTGAGCAGAGAGGAGTGAGCAGAGAGGAGAGTGAGGGAGCCGAGAGGGGAGAGCAGAGAGGAGAGTGGAGGGTCCGAGAGGGGAGAGATGAGAGGAGAGTGGAGGAGCAGAGAGGGGAGAGAAGAGAGGAGAGTGGAGGAGCAGAGAGGGGAGAGAAGAGAGGAGAGTGGAGGAGCAGAGGGGAGAGCAGAGAGGAGAGTGGAGGAGCAGAGAGGGGAGAGCAGAGAGGAGAGTGGCAAACAAGAGAGGGGAGAGCAGAGAGGGGAGCGACCTGAGGTGATGCAGGATTGCAGTGGGCATGTGCATAACGCAGGGGAAGAAGTCAGCCAGGTGACAACGAGGGGCGCACTGTATTCCTGTGAACGGCAACCCTGCTCGTGGCTGCTGTAGTTAAAAATGGGGAAGGCACGTATACAGTTGTAATATGAGATAGGAGTGCACGTGCCTGCTGTAGTCAAAGATTGGGAATGCGATTTGAAGCATCAACTTGTCGTCGTCGCTCCAGCTGCCCTCGTGGCTGGCAGCACCGCCTCCCTGCAGCCCATGAGAGGCATGGGCGAGGCATGGGCGAGGCATGGGCGAGGCATGGGCGAGGCATGGGCGATGAATGGGCGAGGCATGGGCGAGGCATGGGCGAGGCATGGGCGAGGCATGGGCGGGCATGGAGGAGGCATGGACGAGGAGGTTGGTGCAGCGACACATAGCAGACGATGGGGTGCGGTGCAGTGGATGCAGGGCAGCAGCACAGTGCAGAGGCTGTGAGCCAGCAAGGAGGAATGGAAAGCAGTGCATGGTGCCGACGACTGGGTGAGATTCACAGTAGCAATGACAGATGGCGGATGGCATACCAGCACGTGACAGATGGCATACCAGCACGTGGCAGATGGCATACCAGCACGTGGCAGATGGCATACCAGCACGTGGCAGATGGCATACCAGCACGTGGCAGTGCGGGCCACAGGCCACAGCGGGTGGTTGGGGTGGCGGCGAGCGAGGGCTGAAGGGCGCCGTGAGGTCCTGCCATGCCAGCCAGCACAGCACAGCACAGCCATGGGGGTGGGCGCGTGGGTCGGTTGTGAGAACCCCAGACATGCTTTGGATGCTCCATCAGAAAGGCGAGGGCGGTGGAAAGACGTAACTGGCAATTCGTTCAGGCTGGAGAGGGCAGCAAGGGGAGGGCGGCAGGGGAGGGCACCTCAAATGTGGTGTTGGTGATGTTGTCGTGCCGCTGACAGTCAAAGCACTGTACGGTGAGATGGAGATGGGGGATGGATGGCATGCATGCATGCACCAGTGCACAGGTGTCACACAGGTGTCACACAGGTGTCACACAGGTGTCACACAGGTGTCACACACATGGAGGGACATACACGCATACACACACACATGCAGACATACGCAGACATGCACACACACACACACACACACACACACACTCACGCACACACTCACACCCACACACGCGCGCGCGCACGGACACACACACACACACACACACGCACACATACACACACACACACATGCATACAGAGACGTATGGGAAGAGGAATCTTGGTCAAGCTGGCCCCAAGGCACGAGTTATCTCAACAATCAAAGAGACAGCTTCCAAACAGGCAGGCAGTTGGCAAGAAAGCCACTGAGTGGCGACGGAGAGGCGGCTCACCCGGCAGACGCAGCAGAAGAGGCGGTCGAACGACAGCGCCGAGTCCCACAGCTCCCCCCCCTCCCGCCCCTCCGCTGCTCGCCGCCCCCCTGCCACCACGCCACCCCACCACCACGCCAGCATGCCAGCAGCGTAGACATTAGATGTGATGCTTGCAAATGTGGCGTGTGCTGTGGGCACAGCGTTGGTGGCTGCATGGCAGGCTTCATGCCCCATTCAAGGCCCCATGTGCGTCACACGATGAGCATGAGCATTTGAACAAGACGCGTGTGGAGCGATCGAAGCGATGCAGGTGGAGGGGGAGGCAGCTCACAGTGAGCGAGTGAGCGGCGCTGCCCGTCCACCTCCTGGAACTTGCTGCCTCGCACCACAGCACGGGCCATGGGCGATGGGGGATGGGCGATGGGCAACGGGGAATGGGTGATGGGCAACGGGTGATGGGGAATGAGCGTCGAGGAATTGGCAACGGGAATGAGCAGCGGGAGATGAGTTGCTACTAATACAGCGAGGAAGGAAATGTGGGACTGTAAGCGAGGTCGCCTCTGCAATGGGAGAGAGTGAGAGAATGAGAAGAGTGGTGGGCACCTGAAAGGCAGCTCCTCGGGAGCACACGAGGCCCCTCCCTGGCTGGTGGTGGCCGTGGCCCTCCTGTCCGTCCCCTCGTCCTCGCCTGGCTTCCCCTGCTCGTCCATTTCCACACGCACCCCGTTGCTGTGATGCACGCTCGCACACACACACGTGCATGCACACGTGCATGCACACATGCACACACGCACACATGCGCACACACACACACACACACACACACACGCACACACGCACACACGCACACACGCACACGCACACGTGCATGCACAGATGCACACACGCACACATGCACACACACACACACACACACGCACACACGCACACACACACACACACGCACACAGATGCACGCAGACACACACAAAAACAAATTCGTACATACACACAATAGTACTGGCACGCACATAAAGCACTGAGGCGGAAATGTGGCTGATATCGCCGGCCCACTCCTTGCCGGCTCACTCCCTACCGACTCACTGGGAGGCAACGCGCCAGGCAGTGTAGCGGGGCAGGGCCGTCACCGCCGGGAGGATCGAGATGCCGCTCGCCTTCCTCCTTGCTGCCTTGCCCCTCGCCGCGTCCTTCCCCCCCGCCTCCCGCGCCCCGACCGCATCTTCTCCCAAGCGGGTGCCCTGCGGGGGCCCTCCACTGCGCCCGTTCGCACCGGGTGCCGCCACGACCTGCGTCGTGTGCTGCCCGTCCCACCACCCGCCGCGCGCCTGGGTGCGTCTGGCCCACGCCAACGCCACGTCGCCCTCGTTGCTCCTCACCACCCTCGCAGCCTCCTCCCCCGACCATCCCGTCTGCCGCCCAGCCTGCTCCGCCTGCTCCGCCTGCCCCGCCTGCCCCGCCTGCCCCGCCTGCCCCGCCTGCCCTGCGTGCACCTCCAACCCGCCTGTCTTTTGCACCGCCTTCCCCGTCTCCCCTCCCTGCCTCGCCTGCCTCGTCTGCCCCGCCTGCCCAGCACACACGTGGGGACATGCAAGGCGGCATATGCATGACGGCATTGGGGCATGCAAGGCAGCATTGGGGCATGCAAGACAGCATTGGGGCATGCAAGGCAGCATTGGGGCATGCAAGGCAGCATTGGGGCATGCAAGGCGGCATTGGGGCATGCATGGCGGCATTGGGGCATGCAAGGCAGCATTGGGGCATGCAAGGCGGCATTGGGGCATGCATGGCGGCATTGCATTGGGCCACGAGCGGCGAACCATTCTCACATCGGCGCGGCTCCACACGAAGATCACCTTGAGCTCTCAGAATGTCGTTGCGTAAATTACACGCGGCGCTCAACCTACCTCAGATTGGAGCCCAGCCATGGCAGTGGATGAAGCGGGCGACGAGCTGAGCGCCAATCACCGATGCGTCTGGCAGCACACATGAGGGCGATAGAAGGAGGGTGACACAATGCTAGAAAAGAAAGCGACAGCGCCGCAATAGATGGCAGTCCGAAGTCATTCATAGATTAAAAAGGCACCCCGGCCTTTCTGCCTCCGTCGCACCCATTTTCGCCCACCTGCCTTCGTCGCCCACCTGCCTTTCCGTCGATGAACGACGATCGTGAGTGCGACGATCGAAGCCTGGGGCGAGGGTCGAATAAATAGAAGAGTACAAACGCTGTCACTCCCTGGGAGTGCCCAAAACGTTGTTTAAGTGAGACGACGCACAGCGCTAGGAAGTTCTCGACGCGAGCGGCAGCAGTTCGAACCAAATAAACGAAACAGGTGGGTAAACAAAGGGAAAACTGGTTTTGTGCTGGCTTCGTGCTCTTGTGGGACGAGCATGAATTTCAAAATTTCGAAAGCCGAAGGGCGAAGCGCAATGCTGATGAGACGATTTTGGTGCAGATGTTGCAAACCAGGTGCACCGCACCGCACCGAGGCGCACCAGGTGAGCACCAACCCGCGCCAGTAGCGCGACTCGTTACAGATATCAAGAACTGGTGAAGTAGTAGGTGGCTAAGCAGAAGATCATAACACATTGCATAACACTTCAGAACATTGTCAATCAGCTCAATGTATCTTTATTCAAGTTATTCTTTAATGAATATATCCAGACACAAATCGGTTGTATTACACCGCATACTCCTACTACGTATTCTTCATTGGTTTAATTCATTATGCTCCTTCATTTTTACAACCATTACCGTATTCTCCCGGACAAAACACCTCCCCATGATTGAGCACCCCCGGGTAGCTTGTGCGGGGTGGGTGCTATGGGCGACCTCGTTTCTACTATACCCCCCTTTTGGGCTGATTCTCTATAAGACCCGGGGGGGGGGGGGGGGGGGTATAGTCGGCAAAAATGATAACTTTGCGTATTTCATATAAGTAACATTACAGAAACTACAGAAGTACTGCGCCAGCACCTAGACATTGACAATGTCACCTAGACTGCAGAACCATAACCACAACATCACCACACCTTAGACATCCACAATTTCAACATCAGAGGGCTTTACTTAGTGTTTTTTACTCAGAATCGTCCCATGCATGCCACTCGTCACACTCTTCCCCGTCATAGCAGCCAGGGCACCACCACTCGTCATCGCTGGGCTCTTCTGCCTCCCCGCCTTCCTCAAGCACGACCCCCTCCTCCTCTGTCGCCGCCGCCTCCGCGTCCTCCTCTGCGGCGTCATCCTTCTGTGCCGCCGCCTGCAGCTCCTCGGCCGGCATGGGGACTTCGGCGTAGAAGGGGTTGACGACGAGATCGTCTTCAACCATGTCGTTGACGTCGTCAAGGACCTCCACCTCACTCTTGTCCCGCATGTGGGCAAGGATGAGGTGGTCCTCGCTGCCATCAATGGGGGTGGAGATCCCACACGTGACGAACGCCTTCTTCACGAGCTCCTCTGGATTGCTTCCCAGGACTCATCGATCGAGCGGAGCGCCAACTCCGCTGGTGGCTTCTTGAGATTGCCTGGGGGACGGGGAAGGGTAGACAAGGACAAACGTGAGCATACAGAGCTCTCTCTGACACGGATTCGTAGTTACGCATGCGGATGTTAGGGCTTCAACTCACCAGCCTTGGTGGTGAGGTTGATTCCCTCTTTTTCAAACCAGACACTGTAGCGATGACGCACACCGCACTTGAACGCGCGGTTCACCGACACATCCAGAGGCTGCACCAGCGGTGTGCAGCCCCCTGGGATGACAGCACGGGATAGCCGAAACATCCTCATGGTCTGCCCGACCGCCTCGGTCAAATGGCCGCGGTAGGAGTCGAGCACAGCCAAGCCCTCCCTGCGGCGTCCGGTTGTTTCACGAAGGGGCTTCAAAAACGGCACCATCAGCTGGGTGATCCAGTCCTGCACCAGGGCTTCGTCCATCCAGCCTTTATCCTGTGCACGGGCCACCACATCTGCGAAACAACACAAGAGGGTCAGGTTCGGTTGCGACATTTGACAGGTAAGAGCACGGACAACATCGTAAACGTGGGTCGCTTACCGGCAGGGAAGGGCACCTTCGGGACGGTCTTGCGCTTAAAAATCACGTACGGCGGAAGTTTGAGCCCGCTCGCTGTTACTGCCAGCATGACAGTAACACGCTCCTTCTCATAGCCCGCACTCCGTACGTGAACCGTGCGCGCTCCCTTCATCTCCAGGAAAAGCGGAGTCTGGTCCGCGTTCACGATGAGGTCGAGCGGGTAGTCATGCAGAGAGCGCATCTGGCGCACGAACTCCCAAAACGACTCTACCTTGGCCTTGCAATCTGCGAACAGAGCAACGAGAAACATTAGCTAAACATTGACACGGGTTAACCGAGAA